CCTTAACCGCAACCAAACCAAAGACGCTCGAGGAGGCCTACGCCAAGGTAGCCGAACTCCAACGAGTACAACACAACCCACTGAGAACACTGGAAGCACACAAAAGAAAAATCGAGGGAAGCCCCATGATCCCTCCACAGAGATTGAAAGTCGCCAGGGCCACTCCACCCCAAGGTCTGGGGGAGACAACGACACAGGTCCCAGAAGAGGAGGCGGAAATCACCCAGGGAAGGATCCATGCCAAGAGTAGGGCCCAAGCCGGGGACAGCGATGTGGTGACCGGAACATTCCTCGTGCAAGCCACTCCCGCCGTCGGACTATTTGATTCAAAAGCCACCAACTCGTTCATAGCAGTTGAATTCGCAGCAAGACTCGGTCTAACCACGAGCACGGGGGAACAATTAAGAGTCAAGGTGGCATCAGGTGAAGTGCTGAAGTGTGATCGCATGTACAAAGACATAATGATCACCATCGGTGGAATAGAATTTTCCAGCAATCTAATCCAGTTCAGGATGGACGGAATACAGGTAATCTTAGGAATGGACTGGTTGGGGAAATTCAAGGCACAGATCCTATGCGGCGAACAAAAAGTGGTCTTAAGGGGACCAAACGGGAAACGGGTATTCTACCGCGGATCCACCAAGAACTCGGAGGTCAAGCCAGTAAAAATGATGAAGATGAAGAAATACTTAACAAAAGGGTGCGAAGCCTTTTTGTGCTCAATTGAGGATTTGGATGCCGGAAGTAACGAACCGCAGTCAATCCTGGTAGTGGACGAATTTGCGGATGTCTTCCCAGATGAGATCCCCGTGGTACCCCCACCCAGGGAGGTGGAATTCACCGTGGACTTAATGTCGGGCATCGCCCCTATCTCAAAGGCACCCTATAGGATGGCACCAAGAGAAATGCAAGAACTGAAAGCACAACTATAGGACTTGCTAGATAAAGGGTACATACGTCCCAGCACCTCACCATAGGGAGCACCAGTACTATTCGTCAAAAAGAAAGATGGGAGCATGCGATTATGCATTGACTACCGGGAATTGAACTAGGTTACCGTAAAGAACAAGTATCCTCTCCCTCGAATAGACGACTTGTTTGACCAAATCCAAGGCGCGGGGGTATTCTCGAAAATTGACTTGAGATCCGGATACCATCAAATAAAAGTAGCCAACCAGGACATCCTGAAGACAGCCTTCCGAACTCGCTACGGCTAATATGAGTTCACAGTAATGCCATTCGGTTGACCAATGCCCCCGTAGTATTCATGGATCTTATGAATCGTGTATTTCGGCCCTACCTAGATAACTTCGTGATTGTGTTTATCGATGAAATCCTGGTCTACTCACACGACAAGGAAGAACACGAGAAGCACCTTCGCACGACCTTACAAACCCTGAGGGAAAAACAGCTATATGCCAAACTCTCCAAATGCAAATTCTGGCAAGACAGCGTGGCATTCCTGGGCCACGTGATAACTAAAGAGGGAATCTGGGTGGATCCAACCAAGATCCGCACAGTCAAAGACCAGCCGACACCAAAGACAGTTCCAGAAATTAGGAGCTTCCTTGGGTTGACCAGCTACTATCGGAGATTTGTACCCGACTTCACCAAAATAGCCCAACCCATGACGAGACTCATGAAGAATGAAATTCCCTTTCGATGGGACGCCAGTTGTACTTCGGCTTTTCAAGAACTAAAGGAAAGACTGACCACAACCCCAGTATTGGCGCTACCCTCGGGAATAAAAGGATTCGAAGTTTTCAGCAACGCTTCTAAAAAGGGGCTGGGATGCAAGGTAATAGCATACCCATCCAGACAACTCAAAACCCACGAGGAAAATTACCCTACTCACGATCTGGAACTAGCAGCCTTTGTCTTTGCTCTAAAAATCTGGAGACATTATATATATGGGGCACAATGCAAGATCTATACACACCATAAAAACCTGAAATATATCTTCACTCAGAAGGACCTGAATATGCGACAGAGGCGGTGGTTAGAACTCATAAAAGATTACGACCTGGATATCCAATACCACGAAGGCAAGGCTAACATAGCGGCAGAGCACTAAGACGAAAAACGAGCCACTCCCTTAACACCATGTGGGTACTGGAAGACGAACTATGTAGGGAATTCCAGCAGTTAAATTTAGAAATAGTGGAGCAAAAACCAGCGGATTCGGAGATCCAACTATTTAATCTCAGGATCATACCCACACTATTCGAAGAAATCAAAGCCGGACAATCACAAGATCCTGAATTTAGAAAGATACAACTCAGCCTGGTCGAAGGGAAGAACGGGCCATTCGAACTGTTTAATGATGGCAGCCTCCGCTACAAGCGAAGATGGTGCATACCCGCAACGCACCCCCACCAAAAAGCGACAAAGGGATTTTTCTTGGATACTCGACAAAAGCCGAGCATATCGGGTGTACAATGAAATCGCCAACATCATTAGGGAATCTACCAATGTTGTGGTTGATGATCAATCGGATGAAGTAGCTGAAATATCACAACTTGGACCAGTGTCGGAACCTATAACAAATAATCCAGAATCTACTGAACCAAGTCCAGCGAATGCTCAACCTGATCCAGAATTAAACACTGAATCTGAGTCAGAACAAAGTGAAGTTGATATACCAACTCGCATCCAGAAAAACCACCCAATCCAGAATATAATTGGAGATCCAAGTTTTGGCGTCTGGACTCAAGGGAAACCAAAGCGCGATTATATTCAACTAGCCGGATATGCGTGCTATACTTTGAAAATTGAGCCAAAAAATGTAAAGGAAACCTTATCGGATGAGCACTGGATCAAGACCATGCAAGAAGATCTAGGACAATTTGAAAGAAATAAGGTATGTATTCTTGTTCCTAAACCTAACGGTGTTAATGTTGTAGGTACCAATTGGATCTTTCGAAACAAAACAGAATCAGCCGACAACATTGCACGAAATAAAGCATGGCTTGTAGCACAAGGCTAGTCTCAAATTGAAGGAATCGACTACGACGAGACGTTTGCACCTGCTGCTCGTCTAGAATCAATTCGTCTACTCCTGTCTATTGCATGTGCCTTAAAGATCAAATTGTTCCAAATGAACATTAAGACGAGCTTCCTAAACGGATATCTAACTGAACATATCTACGTTGCTCAACCAAAAGGATTTGAAGATCCTCATCACTCGAACTATGTGTATAAGTTGGAAAAAGCATTGTATGGTCTAAAACAGGCCACAGGCCACAAGCGTTGTATGGTCTTTCATGGTATGAAAGACTCACTCAGTATCTCCTTCAACATGGCTACAATCGAGGGGGAGCTGACAAAACACTCTCATGGTATGAAAGACTCACTCAGTATCTCCTTCAACATGGCTACAATCGAGGGGGAGCTGACAAAACACTCTTTATCAAACGGTCAAGTAAACACTTAACTATAGCTCAAGTTTATGTTGACGACATCATTTTTAAATCTACTCAGACAAGTGCAACTGATCAACTTGTCAAAATAATGCAACAAGAATTTGAAATGAGCATGATTGGAGAGCTGACCTACTTTATGGGATTACAAGTAAACCAAACAGGTGAAGACATCTTTGTCTCTCAAGAAAAATACGCAAAGAACCTATTGAAGAAGGTCTAGAATCTGCTAAAGATGCAAGAACCCCAATATCAACTTCTACTAAGCTGTTCAAGGATGAAAAGGAGTCTCTATTGATCCTACCTTATATAGAAGTATGATAGGAAGCTTACTATACCTTACAGCAAGTAGGTCGGATATCATGCTAAGCGTTGAGATGTGCGCATGTTATCAAGCTAACCCGAAAGAATCTCATCTAAAGGCTGTGAAATGTATTATAAAATACATCAAAGGTACGCTAAATTATGGTATTTGGTATTCTAATGATACTAATTTAAGCCTTGCAAGATTTAGTGACGTCGATTGGGCCGGGAATGCTGACGATAGAAAAAAGCACCTCTGGTGGTTGCTGTTTTATTGGTAAAAACTTAGTCGCCTAGCTAAGTAAGAAGCAAAATTCAATTTCACTCAGTACAGCTGAAGCTGAGTATATTATTGTCGGTAGTTGTTGCACTCAATTACTTTGGATGCGCCAAATGCTGTCTGACCATGGCCAAAATCAGAATAGCATAACTCTATATTGTGACAACACCAGGACTATTAATATTTCCAAACACCAATTCAGCATTCCAGGACAAAGCACATCGATATTCGCTATCACTTTATCCGGGAATTAGTTGAAGAAAAAGAAATCGAGCTAGATTATGTTTCCACTGAAAAGAACCTGACAGACTTATTTACCAAGCCATTGGATAAATCGAGATTTGAAATTCTGCGAGCGGCTTTGGGAGTTTGCAATCTCTCCAATTAAAGGAATATCCTTTTTAAATCAGGTATAATTTCTTAAATAAAATATTGTTTTGCTATCTAATAATTTTACTTGTTGTTTCAAACATTATTCTCGCAGCTTTGCTCATCTCCTCAGTTGAAAATTCAAATATCAAAAACCCATTCGCATTCTGTTCATTAATTCCCTAAAGTCTTGGCTTATATTTTTTTTATAATCATCCTTATCGCAAAGCTATTGAATAGAGATCAAATCAACCTCCATCACCTTTGCTTACCTATCACATCTGGTCTCTCTTCTCCCAAGAAAACCCTTAAACAATTAATTTTTTTTCTCTTCTTTCATTTGCACGATACACTCCCATCTTTCCACTTCGTCTTATTCACCTATTCATCTCCTCCATCGCCATAATCTCTCAAAGCTCCAAACCATGGAAAATCCTTTCTCAATCTACAAATCAAAATAGAAAGGCTTGCCCTTTTTCGTCAGATAATCGACGCTGATTCCCCTCTCTCACCGGCGTCCAAAAATAGGGTCTTGGAAACCATTGAACAAAATCTCAAGCTTGTGGAAGACTTGACCACAAGGAGTATAGACAAATCTGAGCTCTTGCGTGAAATGTGACACCAGCGAAGAAATTGATGAAGCCGAAGTCCAAGCATCTCTTCAATGGGCAAGACAACAATCTCATGCTTTGGTACCTTCTTTCCCTGAATCTTTAGACGGTATTTCCTCATTACCCGCTTCTAGGAAGCTAATTTTTTTAGTTCATATGCATGCTCAATTTGATGGTCCACATATGTCATCTATGCCTTTATCTATTCTGTTAAATTTGCCAAATGTGTCTTCATATGAGGGAATTACTGTTGCTCCTCTATCTACAAACATCTATTCTGGACCTTTTCCTGTTGTTAATGCGTCTGCTCCCAATGTATCTGCTTCTGTGACTATTTGTGAAACTGGTACATTTGTTTCTGTTGTTCCAGTAGGAGTCACATCTGTTACTGCTTTGCCTATCTCTGAATCTATTCCTGCCTAATCTGTTCATGACAATATGTCTACCGTGCCTAATTTAATTTCTGTATCTGAAGTTGCCAAATCTGTGTCTACTGATTTTGCCATTAGAAATGTTGCACAATTTTTCAATCTGCCAAATCGTCTCTGGACCTGATCTCTCTATATTAGTGTCCATTTTCTTGTATAACCTCAGGTATGAGCATGTTCTTGTGTCCAGCTCCCCAGAGTCTGTGCCTATAATCCATGTGCCCCTTGAGAAACCTTCTCGTAAAGGGAAAGAAAAAATTGTTTCTGCAAGTGTTTCTGAGGCTGCTCCTGAAAATAGAAAATTGGATGATCTAGATGAGGTCATATTTGTTTCTGAAACCAAGCATAGAAAGAGGGGGAGTTTTGTTGTTCCGTCCAGAATGACTAGATCTCACACTGGCTTTATTTCTCATGCTCCTGCTTCTGCTTCAAATCCCAAAAGTTCAAAGAAGTCAAAATCAAAATCTTACAGGCCTATATTATTGTCACCTGATCTGATGGATGATTGGAAGATTCATTCCAAAAGAGAGCTCATTTTGGAAAAAGTCAATTGATGAGGAAGATCTGTATGCAAAGTGCAACATCCTGCCCCTTCTCTGTGAGTAGAACCTTCTTCAATCTCTTAAAAATCATTTGGTCCATATTCTCCATGGTTGACTGCCGAATTCTACACAAATCTTATAATGGACACATTCACAATCGTATCTTCTCACTTCCATCAAGTGTTCATCCATGACAATCGTATATTCTCACTACTATGTATTCTGTTCTTCTGCGAATTGGTACTGCAAATTGGATACCCGCTGTGAACACGCACTTTATCTCGGAGAAACTTGCTCTTCTGTTCCCCAACCTCATCTATGGTATTCTTAAGAAGCAAGGATTCAAGCCCTATAAGGATGAACTTGGTGCTGAAAATACTAGTGTATATGGTTTTGATGATCGATTGGTCCAATGACAGCATTATGATGATCGTGCCACACTTGCTGATCCTCCTGCCTCTACTGCTCCAATGCCTTCTACATCTGCTCCAGCGTTTTATAATGAGACAGAGTCATCTCAAGCTCCTGCCTCTTCTTCTATGCCTAATGAGCCTCCAGCGTTGATTACTCACCGTCAGCTGGCATATACAATTAAGACTTTGATTGCTCAACTTCGCAGGTCTTTCACTTCTCAACAAACTATGGTTGCAGGGTTAGAGAAGATTCTGGAAGTGCATCTGCGCGAGATTTCAAGGCTGGAAAAGTTGCATGCTGAAATTCTAGCCAACAGGGGTGCTACTTCTGGCTCTGATGCAGCAGACGATTCTAATGATGCTGTTTCTGGTTATGTAGGCTCTTCTGATTCTAGTTACACTCCATCAGCCCGATGATGCTCACCACTGATGTTCACCACTTTATCAATTTATTGGCAAAAAGGGGAGTGTGATAAGGGGGAGCATGGTTTGTTATGGTTTGTTTTGGTATGATAAACTAGTACTTTTGTTGCTTTCTGACAGTATTGTGCATACTTTCGTTGGTTGGATGTTTAGCTTGGATATTTAGCTACTCTATCTTTTGATATATTTGGCTACTTTATTTGGTTATCATTTTATCAGTATGAGTTTCTTATTAACAGTGCTCTTGAATATTGTTTTTGATTATCTTATTTGGTTTATCTTATTGGTGTATGGTTATGTTTTATCAGTTGGTTGTATGGTGCTTATTCGATGCAGCAGGGTGGTTGATGTGGTATATTGATCATTGGATTATCTTCTATGGATGGAGTAACGGTCCAAATGTTTTGGTAATCTCTTAAACATTCTTACCTATAGGTTTTTTAGGTTAAACAAATATACTAAAGACCATTTATTAATGAAATCACTTAATATGTTTTATTTTTGACCAAAGTATATATGCTTTTAGTTTTGCCAAATAAATTGTCAAAGGGGGAGATTGTAAAAGTACAAATGATACACATTTAACCTTATTATAATTGGCTAATTTATTTCACAAAGGTTAGAATTTAATTAGGTGTAATCTTTGGACCGTATTCTTATCAGGAATTGTGTCAGACTCTATTCACGCTGGATCAGAGTCAGCGTATATTTCAGCGGGTTTCTCCAACTAAATTTAGTTGTGAAGAACTAGTATTCAGCCTGAATTAAAGTGTTGGGTATCATTTATTAAAGGATTTCTGGTCAGCATCATTATGGGAAGTTAGTTACGTTATATTTAGTATAAAAGGATTGGATTCCTATCATTATGATTCACGGTTTTATTGATATCATTCCAAGGACTATTCTCTCTATATTAATCAGTTTATCAGTCTATTATTATGTGTTGAAGTGATAATCTCTCTGTATTAATCTGCCTGAAGCTGGTTCAACAGTGTTGAAGCTTGAAGAAAGATATTAACATGCACGCACCTCTCCAAAGTTAGGTGTTGTGAAGATTGAAGTCGATTTATGTGGCTAAGGCCTTCATAATCAAACCCGTAGTAATCTTGGTGAACATCTAGTGGATTGGGCTGTCGTGAGTTGCGCCGTAAACGTAGGAGTTTAGTTCCGTACTGCGTAAACAATTGTTGTGTTCCTGATTCTACTTTCTTACCTTTAGTTAGTTTTTGTTAATTCAAAATTTAATATAGTTAATGGTATGTTAATGTGTTAATTAAAATCAAGTAGAACTATACGCTTCAACTTATATATATATATATATATATATATATATATATTGAAATTTTAAAAGCCGTAGAGTCAGTCTGCTTTAAAGAAAGAAGACATGATTGATCAGGTAATCCATCAGAAGCGTGTCTGAAGTTTTAAAAGCCGTTGGAAGACATTTATTGAAGGAGCATATGTGCTAGCAGATGCCCGTTGTGGCTTTAGGTGAAATTTCAAGAAAGTCCTTACTTAATTGGACACCTCAAAGGGTATGAACGTAATCTGGTATAGAAGCTGTCTGACGTTCTGATTACGTGCGTTCTGATTACGTGCTCCTTACCCTCAACCAAAGATTTATATAGTGAGTTGCTGATTTAAGAAAAGGTTAACGACTGCACTCTACGTCTCTTGAATCTAAAAAAGCACTCATTGTTCTAAGTCTTTCTCTTTGGTTATCATCTCTTCTCAAGACTGAAAAGCTCATGGTGAATTAAGAAGATGAACTTGAAAAGATCCAACTGTGCTTAAACAATGGACGCAAATATCACTCAGCTGTGGGAGACAGTGTGGGACTGCGTCATTGAAGCGGACATCATTAGAGTTAGCTCTCCATTGAAGGGACATCATAGACTTCTGGATGTATGGCTCTCCATCTTCAACAATCCACTAAATCTTTGTAGACTGGGTGCTAACCTTGTGTAGATCACTTGGGTGGGATCATTTCTCTACCTTTGTACATTGGAGTTGTGGTTAGTGGATTGGATGCATCGGTGATCGTCCCCCAGATGTACATACACACTGTATCGAAGTGGGTAAACAAATCTCTGTGTTGATTTACTTTTTGCAATTGTTTTCCGCGCTTTTGCTTTCTGTTGGTTTATCTGTTTGATTATCTGGTTTACTGCTTGTGTTAAACCTGCGCACCAACTGTTTGATAAAACAAGTAGATCAATATTGTAGGTTATCAATTCACACAAAATCACACTTGGTATCAGAGCTTTTAAGTCTACATAGTGACTTGATCCTTACGGGAAAAGTTTTTTGTTGTGTTTTCGTAATAGAGTTTATTATCCTTTCTATCTGTTTTTTGTGTTTATCTCTGTCTGTGTTGTTGGCTAGTTGTCTAATTGTATCAAGATAGATGCAAACACGAAACCCCCTGAATTGGATGGTCACAATTACCAATTCTGGAAAGCTCAAATGGAGATCTATCTTCAAGCTCAAGGAACAAGGGTGTATCGTACCACTCTCACTGGATGGACACCTCCCATAGTTCAGAACGCTACTGGAACAACTACGCTTAAACCTATGGCCAACTGGACTGATGATGAGATAACTGCTTCTGATCTCAACAACAAAGCCCTGAATTTGATTGTAGGATTTTTACATGAATCCGTATTCACTCAAGTTACAGGTGTAAAAGAGGCAAAAATTGCTTGGTAGATTCTAGAAACCAGATATGAAGGTACCAGTGATGTGAAACAGTCAAAGCTTAAGATGGTATTGTCAGAATTTGAGGCTCTAAGAATGGATGAAGATGAAAATATCTCGAAATTCCATAGCAGAATTCAAGATTTGATGAATAGAACGGTTGTTCTTGGTGAGCTATATCAAGAAGACCGAGTTGTTAAGAAAATATTATGATCTTTGCCCAAGAGATTCCGAATGCAAGTGACAGCGATCCAAGAAAATGCCAGTTGGGAAAAGAAATGTGTTGGTGAACTAATGGGGAGTCTACACACTTACGAACTTGAAGTGTTAGCTAATGATAACCCGAGTTCAAGCAGACGAGGAAAGTCTATGGCATTCATCACCGAGGCTGATCAAGAGTCCGACTCTTAAGATACCGAGGACGAATCTCTAGTCCTACTGACAAAGAATTTCAAGAAGATCTTAAAGGGTTTTAAGCGTAGAAATGAAGGGCAGACCAATCGAAATCAATCTAAGGGTGGAAACTCTGTAAATCAGAAATCTGGATCAATCCCTTCACCATCGAAGATTGGTTAATCTACTCGCTCAAATCAGTACAAGAACACATTGAATTCCTCAGGTAAAACTCTAAATCGATGTGTTCAATGCCGCGAATGTGAAGGATTTGGTCATATACAGTCTGAGTGTGCAACGTATCTGAAAATGAAGAAGTCTATGTTTGTTTCAACATTGAGAGATGATGAAGAAGATAATGCAGACCAAGGGTCTGATTAAAATACAGGAAACTTTGTTGCTTTCTTCACTATAACAAAGACTCACTCAGAATCTGATGATGATGATGATGAAACATATATGTCATTAGATGATTTTGAAGAGAGGCATACTCAGTTAGAGATTGAATTTGCTAAGCTTGTTGCTAGTTGGGAACAACTAGTGATGATCAACAAAAGTCTGAATGAGGATCTAAGACAACTAGATGAACATTTGAAGAAGCTGAACGTTGATTTAGTAATGAGGGATGATCTTATTCCTCAGATCAGATCTCGAGAAGGAAAGTTGATCTAGGAACTAGAAGATTTGAAGAAGAACATCACGATGATGGACACTACTTCAACTTTGGACAAAATACTGGATTCTGGTCGAAAGTCAAATAGTAGAATATGACTTGGATTCGAAAGGGAAAATCATCTAAGTCTACTCCTGTGTTTGTCAAAGGAAGCACTTCAAACTCTACGTCTGAGCCTGAACCTGTGCATACTTAGTTTCAATCGCTTCATTCCAGAAACAAGGGCAAGTTTATCCGATTCAAGAAGTATGTTCATAGTTGTCACTTGTCACTATTGTCAAGTTAGAGGTCACACAAGACCAGAATGCTACTATTTCTACAAAGATCAAAGAAAGGAGAAGTACAAGAACAAGTTTATTGCTCCTTTCAAGAGACAAGTTTGGGTTAGAAAGTAAGAAGTTGTTTGCTATCCAACCATTGTGTTGTCTGTTGCAATGACTGAAACCAGATGGTACTTTGACAGTGGTTGTTCGAGACATATGACTAGAAACTCAAAGTATCTAACATCTGTTCAACCTAGCAATGGTTCAGTGACTTTTGGAGATGGTCAAAGAGGCAAGATAATTGGTCTTGCACTCTAAATGTTCCGGGATTGCCTCATCTGGATGATGTTCTCTTAGTAAATTGTCTACAAGCTAATCTTATAGGCATTAGTCAGCTTTGTGATCAGAATTGGAATGTCTACTTCAACCGAGACTGTTATAGCATTCGTGATAAGTCAGATCAAGTTGTCATGGAAGGTACACGTTCTTCAGATAATTGTTATATTTTAACTAATGATGCTTTCTGTTTTAAGTCAAAGTCAGAAGAATCTAAGCTGTGGCATCGACGTCTGGATCACATGAACTATCGAGTTATGGACAAGCTGATCAAACTTGATGTTGTTCGAGACATACCGAAGTTGAGAGTGGATCATGAAGGAGTTTGTGGTGCATGTGCTATAGGAAAGCAAACCAGAGCCCCTCATAAAGCTGTAAATATGATTACCACTGAGAGATGTTTGGAACTGGTTCACATAGATCTGATGGGTCCAACTCAAACGAAGAGCATTGGTGGTAAGAAATACATATTTGTTTGTGTTGATGATTTTTCACGTTTCTGTTGGGTATCTTTTCTAAGGGAGAAATCTGAGGCATTCGAAGCATTCAAAACACTATGTGTGAGACTTCAAAAGGAGAAAGATGAACCTATAGTCAAAATCCTACGTCTCAGAAGTAATCATGCTAAGGAATTTGAAAACTCATCTTACTCAGACTTTTGCTCAGAGAATGGAATTGCACATGAGTTCTCTGCTCCATAGACTGCTCAACAAAATGGCATTGTGGAAAGAAAGAATCGAACACGACAAGAAATGGAGAGAGTTATGCTTAATGCATCACGTCTACCACAATGTTTTTGGGCTGAGGCAGTGCATACTACATGTCATACCATAAATCGTATCTATATAAGGCCCGGTACATCTAAGACTCCATATGAAATATGGAAAGTTAAAAAGCCTAACTTGAAATATCTCCATATTTTTTGTACTGAATGTTTTATCTTGATTGATCGAGAACAAAAAGGAAAGTTTGAGCCCAAGAGCGACGAGGGAGTATTCCTTGGATACTCACCAAACAGTCGAGATTATAGGGTATATAACAGGAGGACTCAAACAATCATGGAGCCAGGGAACGTTGTTGTAGATGATGAGCCAGATGAGCCTAAAGTCGTAATAGTCTCTGATTCTACATCTGAGACAGTACCTAACACTTTATTAAAGTCACCAGATGAATAAGAAGAAGTTGATCAACCTCCTGCATCTTATGATCCACCAAATGAAGATGAAACTGGGATGAGTCAACCTCTGTCTGATCGTGATGGAAGGGACAAGTCTTCCAGAACTCAGAAAAATCATCTGTCAGTTAACATTATTGGTGATCCGACTTATGGAATTCGCACAAGAAGTAGAGTGAGGAACAATTTGATCGAGTTGGCTGGATATTCTTGCTACACTTCAAAGATAGAGCCTAAGAATGTTAAGGAAGCTCTATAAGATGATCTCTGGGTAAAGGCTATGTAAGATGAACTACATCAGTTTGAGAGAAATCATGTGTGGGATCTTGTACCTAAACTAGATGGTGTGAACATGATTGGAACAAAATGGATCTTCAAAAACAAGACTGATGAAGCAGGGAATGTTGCTCGAAACAAAACCAGACTTGTTGCTCAAGGATACACTCAGATGGAAGGCTTCGACTATGATGAAAAATTTGCTCCAGTTGCTAGGCTGGAATCAATCAGAATTCTACTGGATATTGCATGTTTTCTGGGTTTCACACTGTTTCAGATGGATGTAAAGACAACATTTCTGAATGGTTATTTGCATGAAGATATCTATGTGGCTCAACCTAAAGGATTTGAGGATCTTGAGTACCCAGGACATGTCTACAAGTTAAGGAAAGCACTTTATGGCCTTAAGCAAGCTCCAAGGCTTGATATGAACGTCTAACTCAGTACCTTCTTCAACATGGTTATGATCTGGGAAGTGTAGACAAGACTTTATTTGTCAAGTCTACTGGAAAGCATGTTACTATAGCTCAAATCTATGTGGAAGATATTGTATTTGGATCAACTCTACAAAAGTATACTAAAGATTTGGTAGATGTTATGAAGAAAGATTTTGAAATGTCTATGGTTGGTCAACGAACGTATTTTCTATGTCTTCAAGTGAAACAAAGTGCTGATAGATTCTTTATCTCTCAAGAAAAATGTGCTAAAAATCTAATTAAGAAGTTTGAGCTGGAATCGTGCAAATCACCTAGAACACCCATCTCTACTTCCACAAAGTTATCAAAAGATAATGCAGGTCAACTAGTGGATTTTACTGTGTACAGAAGTTTGATTGGAAGTCTTCTTTATCTGACAGCCAGTCCACCACACATTATTTATAGTGTTGGAATGTGTGCAAGATATCAGTCAGCCCCCAAAGAATCTCATTTGATAGCTGCTAAAAGGATTTTGAAGTATGTCAAGGGAACTGAACAATACGGGTTATGGTATTCCAAGGAAAACAATGTGTGTTTAGTTGCTTATTGTGATGTTGATTGGGCAGGAAATGTGGATGACAGAAAGAGCACTTCTAGAGGTTGTTTCTTCATTAGGAAAAAACTGATATCGTGGTTAAGTAAGAAGCAGAACTCCATATCATTAAGTACTGCTGAGGCACAGAGTATATAGCTGTTGGTGGATGCTGTACTCATATGGATGAAGCAGATGCTATTGGACTATGGGTTACCATAAGGATCTATGACACTCTATTGTGACAACATGAGTGCCATAAATATCTCAAAGAATCATGTTCAACATTCGAGAACTAAACACATCGACATAAGACACCACTTCATTAGGGATCTTGTTGAATCTAAGGAGATCGAGTTGGAATATGTACAGAATGAAAAACAACTGGCGGATATACTGACTAAACCACTTGATGCAAATCTATTTGAGATTCTCAAGTCTGCTCTAGGAGTCTATCGGATGGATAATTAAGTCAGTCTATCCTATTAGAAGAAGGTTAAGGACTCTCAGTTTAATTTGTTGCCTTTTGGGTATCCTTTGGTATTTGAGTCCACTATAGTCAATATTTCCTTCTTCGAATTGATCTGGTCTGTCTAATTCAAATTCGGATTTGATATCCCTATTTCAAAGCCTACACTATTTCTTGAAGAAGTCTTTTCTAAGCCGAAAAAAATAGCTGTACAGTCGTGTTAGTAAAAATTGCTTTTGCATGTTTATCAAATCAATCGCATTAATTACCCTCTTCTCTCTCTAAACACTATCCACATTCGAATTCTCCCAAACCCTCTGAATATCTCTAAGCTTCATTCTAGGTTTTTTTTTCGATTGCATCTCCTCACCCTTTCAGAAAATCTCAGTAACCATGGTTGACGCAGTGAGGAATATGATGATTAAGCTTTACATGAAGGACCATTCACCTAAGAATGCTCTCAAGCATGTCAGATCACTCCTTTAGCTTGCTATGAAGAACAAATTTAAGCTTGACCCGGTTCTTAGAGACGAGATCATTGTGACAATAATCTCCAACTTTCCATAATTCCTTGAAGGAATGTCTTATGATGATACTTCTACACTGATGTTGATGGCATCAGACATAGACAACGATGTCACTCCGGCTACCATCGATGATACAGAAGATGGAAATAGGGCAGGGGCATTTCTGAAGTTCTTCGGGAAGAGAGCTTTGGAATGGGAAGATATCATTCGCCTTCGAACATCGGCTCAGGAGCATTACTAGAAACTGGCTCATCATGAAGTACAACGTCGGAAGGAGATTCTTGAAACCAGGTCAAAATCTACTCCATTCTCTGTTATTTCTATCTCTCCAGATAAGCCTGATAATGTTGTAGAGTATGTATATGTTGATCCTGTTTCGAATGTTTCATTAGTTTCCTCTATTTCTCTTGCTGGTCATTTTGATCTGCCAAAGCCTAGCTGCCTAAATCTGGGAGCAGTGAAGAACAGGAGGAGCAGGAAGAAGAAAGCGAGCCTAGTCAGCCTGAACCCGCACAAGGAAGAGGAAACACGGAGGACCGAGACGAGAGGTCCATCAATGAGCGCATCCTCGCGCAGCTCACAAGGCAGAATCGGATCATGGATGACGGATTCTCGTCCTTGATTCTCGCGATGAGCTCATTGGACAAGAAGGTGGCTGCGATCGAGACCATGTTGGGCACACGCAGAGATTCAAGCTCAGGAGCAGGAAACCAAGGTATATTCCAAATCTCAAACCTCACTTGCCACTGACCTAATCAAACCCCACCCTACACTCGTAAATAGAAAGCATGGGCCCCATTTCCTCAATTAAAAGACCAATTGGCATGACACCTAGGAGCGAAAAGAGTAATCTGTACCCGAGTTTCGGCGACGAAGCTCCTTGTAAGGGGGGGAGGGTGTAACACCCCGTGTTACGGCCTCCGTATCCGGATTAATTATTTAATTAATCTCGTTACCATATAACTAAGAATGATTTAATTACACTAGAATCCCCATCAATTAATCAGCATGGTCCACAATGGACCATGGACCCTTAACCTTAACCAAGTCCTTAATCCTATAAGGAATAGGATAAGTGGACCTTTACCATTCAGACCCTAGTTGAGACTCCTGAATCTATATATAGGGACTTAGGAAGAATTTAGAAACCCTACTACATTTAATCCTACCACACAAGATATTCCCAAAGAGAAACCTACAAAGGGATCCCTTGCCACCAAACATAGAGGAATCCACTAGAGCGAAATCTTAGAGAAGAACCTTAGTAGCCAAGGATATTGATTAGGGCTAAGAGGTAACCCATGTCTCGACAAAACATATTTTCCTTTCTATATCTTATTCATTGGCTCCTTCGATAATCGTATGTGTAATTCTGTGATTGAGTCTTGATAGAGCCTTGCCTAGGGTTTATATTGTGTTTATGTAATAATCTTGATGTTCTTGATATTATGATTGACTATATGAATGATCTTGTATTTTGATTATGTCTAGAGCCCTAGGGTTTATATCATGGATTTCGTATTATGATGTTCTTGGGGTGTTTGGGTGGGATTATGCATGATCGGATGTTGAGTCTAGCCTAGGACTTTGCATATAGACTTCTTGATATTCTTGTGCTTCCGGATGCTCCTGAACCGTTATATGATTTATGTTGAGTCTTGGCATGTTTAGGAATCATTTTAGAACGGATTTTGTATGATTCTTGGTTTGTTTCCATTAATTGAATACGTGGTGTTGTCGTTATGTGTTTGAATGTGTCTGGATATGGTTTCGGGTTCCACGAGCTATCCCAGGGCCGAAAGTTGCATGTGTATCAGTGGGGGGTAAGTGGGGGGGGACTGACCACCCGCCACCTACCCGCTGCCCGAGGCGCTGTTTCCAGCGGGCAGCTGGCGGGCGGTGGTCTGCCCCGCCGACCACCCGCTGGAATGGCGAGTGGCCGCCGGCGGGTGGTCACCCACCCGCCACCTACCCGCTAGAAATCGGCCAAGGTTCGTGATGTTTTCCTCCGTTTGTTGTTTTCCCGTGTTCCGTTGTGTCCGGTTGTACCCCGTTTGTCGTGTGTGAGTCTCGTTTGGTGTTTTAGGTATCGTTCTAAGAATTTATGCGTAATACATGTCGTTGTTGTTGTGTCTTGATTGTTATTTGATTATGTGTTAATTGATTGGATGATGATGAGTATCGTGGTCATTGTGCAATGGCCGGTGTGATTAATGATGATGATGATGATGAGATTGTGATTGGTGGTAATGAATTGTTGGAGATTGGCACGACTTGTGCCCGATCATTGTATTAAAGGTACAGGCCATAGCGGTGACTGTGCTGAAGGCACACACCTACCTTAGACTTGCTTTCCGTTGAGCATGGGTCAGGTTATAAGTGCTGCGGTGTCATGTTAGAGCTATATGCGCTAACCCCTTGATATTGGCACTAGAGGTGCGGATCATTGAATGGCACTGCGGCACCATCTTGATATGTTGGTGGTTGATAGGCGGTTTGTCGATGGGGACATGTAGTTGCCCGGAGGCATAAGGGGTGGTGATATAAGGGTGGCCTGGAGGTATAGGTTGGAACTGATATACGGATGGAGGGGAGCTACAAGGTTGTAACTTGGTATAAGGTTGGGGCATGAATTGTGTGCTTTGATGACTATTTTCTAATTGATTGTATTGAATGCCTTCGTTGCCTCTACTTGTTATTTGTATGCTTATCTGCCTGTCGTGCCTTGTATTGCGTACTTAGGATGCCTGTTAGTTCTTATGATTATTCTATGATGTGGAGTCTGTTATTATGTCTTGAGTCTTGATCTTGGATTTAAACTAGAGTCTCGTAAGTATATATGTATTCCAGTTTCAAAATGAGTTTCTTATATCCACCTATATTGTACTTAATGCGTTGGAGTGGGTTACCAGCATTATTTGCTGACGGTTGTTATACCAAATGTTTTTCAGGTGATGAGTAGTAGCTTCGGAGCGCGCTAGTCAGGACCTTGGACTTAGCTTCCGCAGTTACATTCGTTTTCAAAAAAAAAATGTATGTATTTTCGACAGTTTATGTAGTTTAAGAAATGGGGGTGTTACAGCTTAATTAGCCTTAGTACTGTAGTTGGCCTGCGTGCCTTGGGATTGTATTTGAATATTGATTTAAGGATTCATTATGCTTGGTTAGTTTAGACAGTGCACCTAGGTTCTCAAACTTAGGTGTGGCATAGCACCCCGACACTTATGGATAGCTTTATGCTCTATTTGAGATTTAATTGATAGGTTCGCCTTTATTTTATAAGTTTTAAATATCTCAAAATTTAGGGGTGTTACATAGAGACTGTTGAATATTTTGCGAACATGCCTACTGAATCTGTTCCTGTTCCTTCTAAATTCATAACTATTGAGTCTGATGCTCCTATTGTTGATGATAATGATCTGTTGCTCACTGAGCTAACTAAGAAGAAAGGTGATTCTGTATTGGTTATTGTTCATGAGGTTAACCAATCAGTTGATGAGACTGGTCATCCAGAGTCAACCAGTTTCAAAATTAGAGATGTTCATAATATTCCACTACACCAAAATTTTCAGAAACAATGACCTGAATTGCAGAATTTACTGAGAAAAATCGGTAACATATTTTCATATGAAATTCTCCAGATAAGTAATACAAAGAGTCTAGACAACACACAAAAAGTTTCAAGCCAATCTAAGGCCTAGAAGTATTTTTCCCGAAATATTTCCCAACACTGCCCAAACAGAAATTAAACTGGCAGTACACTGCCTCAACTTTACGAAATTTTTCTGGAAAAAACGAAACATATTTTTAATCAAAACTTTTTACAAACATCAATTATATCAAGTCTAGATTCTCCATAAAAATTTTCAAGCAAAAATAAGTTTAGTAAGCATTTTTCACGAATTTTTCTTTCCAGATGCGCCAGTCAGAATTTTCTCAGGCAATGATCAAATTGTGTAAAATTTATCCTTCTTAATCACCACAAAATCACCATATCACATATGCAGGGTTTTCAAAACATCTAAACACATATACCTATTCGCATAATATAATCAAATAACTTTTCACGTTAAATATCACATACTAGTACTTAACATGTATACATACGTAACACATATATAAATAAATAATTATTAGCTATAATACACAGTTTAAAAATAAAAGAGTAGCAGTAGTAGATCAGACTAGTTTAAATAGTTTTGGGTCACATAAAATAATATAATTACAAACCGTATAGTAAAAATGTTTTATTTAACATAATATCTATTTTATAAAATTTTATTTAGAATAATAATATTTATAACAAAATACTCAAATAACCGGGGTATCACAATCTATCCTCCTTAAAGATGTTTCGTCCCCGAAGCATAACCACAGGAAAATACCGGGTATTACATTTTTACTTTAAATATTAGCGGCGGTTATAAAACCGGCTCTAAATTATGCTTTAATTTTTTAATTATTTCTCATCTAATTTTAGTGACATTTTTGAATTGCCATTAAAAAAATTCATTGTATTTTACTTTTTATTTTTTATGATCCTCATTAAATTATGTTTTTTATCTTGTAAATCTATACATTCAAGTTTGCATTGCAACCACAGACTCTATATACACATTCCATTGAAATGAAAATCAGTTGTAACAAATATTTGTCAAAAAATATTAAACAATATTCACGTACAACTGTCTACATATATTGATTGAACCGCTGAAAAGCATTTTTACATAAAAAATATAAAGCAACATTGACTACGAATACAATGTTTTTAGCATTCAAATTAAAACCAACACAAAGAAACACAAAGAAAGATGGTAAACATCTCTCTCAGATTCTCCAAGCCAATTAAGAAATCTCCCAATAGTCCAGATAATATACGTTGTGGCTCAGATTCCTGCAATAAGCAATGATCAGAACTCTACAAATTCATTAATACGACTATACCAGCATAGTGAAAAATCTGCTGCTTATGAAACTCACCTTCTTAATGAGAGATTCATAGTATGACTTCATTTTCTCAACATCGATCCTCACATTGCTCTTATTGTAGATATCATACTTATTACACATAGAAACCAGAATTAGGTTAACAATAGAGGAGAAAGAAAACCATGTATTAAGAAAAACGAAGAACCTGTAGAGAAAATTTACTTGAAAATCTTAAGTCATTTGAGATTCTCGTGGTCCTCATCATTCATCAAGTGGGTGTATGCTCCAGACTTGTGTACATCAGAGCTTCAT